ATGGTCCCCTAGGTGACTAGAAGCAAGGTCACGGTGCCTCACGCCGCTTCAATTCGGCATCGAAAATTGAAAAGGAATGTACAACGAATAGTTTTCATCCTTTGAACTCAAAGCTTGCACACAGTCAGTAGCTTTTTAAGAAGAATATGATTTCATGACTGAGTGACACACAAAAGTCACTCAGCATTACGTTAATAATATCTCGTTGTTGTGCCAAAACCTACACTTAAGTTTTTCCTTCAGTAATCTATTCAGTACTGAGTATGTTACTGGCATTGGGAATGAAACGCGTCGACTATAAAACCTTTCCATCTCTGATCATTGAAGCAAAAGTCAAGTCCATCGAAGTTTCCAAAATGTGAAAAAAATGAAATGTAAAATCGGTGGGACATCTAAAAGGATCACAAGCGAAGTGTCAGTGCCAGTAGGTAGTCGATTTAACATCATTTTAAACATGCTGAAAAAATTTCACGTTATGAAGAAGAAACGCGACTGGTTCGACTCTTTGATACTGTGATATGTTATTGCTGGCGCCGGGCCAAATGGAAGGCACAGTGGCATCTCTTGTTACACAGGAGAATGGGCTACACTGAGCATCACAATGTATACACTGTGTCAGCTATCCTCTAATTGGAGAATGGCATCGAGAGAATCACCGATTTTACTTCCAAAGCATGGTTGCACTAAGGACAGTCATCGAGATCGTGATTACGTTGTGCGGAAAATGCAAGTTTGTCTGATGTTTAATATATAGCATGTGTGCGGTAATCTGGAAAAGGAAAGCGTTCTTAATCGATTGAGCCATTTAACTTAGCTGAGTTTATTGACTAATTTATGCTTGGAAGGACAGAATATTTATCAATATTTTTTCGCCTCTGATACTAGCAGATGCATGCAAATATAACTGTCTAAGCCTTTATATCGTAGAATACATATGGCTGTAACTAATAGACAAACTTAAGTTCTGCTTAGGACACTGCTGTCTACACGTCCTTGGACAGTTTTCATTCGTTCATCTCATGAGGCATTCGTCTGATCAGAATCACCTTTGCTAATCTGCAATCACATCGGTTCGAAGTTTGAGGTCGCTTTAAATCTTCAAATAATTTTTCTGAATGCTTGCAAATGATAGAAAAAGCAGTGCTTCAACAATTACGTAATATCATACTTAGTTTCGTACTTTCGTTGCTTATTTAAGAGTCTAGCATATATTAATAATTGGGATCTGTGCAGAGGAAGGTATTAAAAATGAACCACTGGAGAGAAACGAAATGACTTATCAAGAAAGAAATTCACCGAAACGGTGAACCACGAACGAAGAGTCTACCAGAGCGGAGATTTAGGCATAAATTCATTCGAAGGGAACGAAGACAGAAAGAGATGAAAGTAGATTATATGTTGGCCCGAATATATCATTCTTCCGTCCTTGTGGCAGGGAGTGGACAATGATCAAAGTAGGGGATTGCTAGGCAGAGTGAGGTACGGGCATGTTCTTCTTCAGCCGCTAGGTAGCCGTGAACCCGTCGCGAACCTCAAAACGATTGGCCAACTAGGGCTCCGGGGAATATTGTAAACTCCTGACTGGTGATCATAGCTCCCCAGAGGTTGGGAATCGGTTTGTACCGGGCAGTCGGCAAATGAGTTATTTACCGTGGAGGAAAATGGCGGCCTCTTGATTCACATACAGACATCTGTTCACACTGGAGTCGCGTGACCGCTCTACCGCGGTCCACGTCCTTCTTGTTCGAAAGTTAGAATATAAACAAACAGCCAACCAAAAGAAATATAAACTTAAACTACCGTACTAGGATTTCGGCCCCCAGCTCTTCAACACAGTGACCCGAAGATATTCTTTAATTTGCACGATGGTCCGCTGTCGATTATAACGATGAATATACCTAGAAGAAGATGGCATAGGACAATTGAACAGCGATTACTTAGACTGCGTTGCTGTGTTCTATCGTCAATGACTCAAGCAGTTTCTCAAGAGTACTTCTACGGCCAACTTGCATAAACTGTTTCTTTCTGGGTGAAGGATGGGGGGATCGTTTACGTTAGCCTCAATCAACGACCTGGAAACACGTTGCATATGAAACGCACGGTATGTTTCGGTTAAAATGACTACTGAATTGGAATGAGCTATCGGAAGAAAGGAGAGCTAATGGCTGACAACCGAAGTTAACCTTGGCAACCATGAAGTTCTACCTGTGGGCTCCACAAACGTATGATGTTAACGAACATGACTGATACATGCAGCTCAGTGGACAACGTTTAGGATGGCACCAACGTCGGTGTTGGTGCTGAGGTAGGAACGTCAAGTGCACGCGTAGAGAGGTCGATTCCGCTTCGTAATTCGCGGTTCATTTGGAATTTGCCAAATCAGGCAAATGGAAGAATGCAACTGGGGTGTGAGTTTCGCGGCCTCGCTTGACTCGTTGTGTAGTCTACTGTTTTACAGGCTAATAACGTCTATGTCCATCTGAGTGATCGGTAGCTTGGCCACAAATGGAACTGGAAGTTCATCGTCTAGCGGTCTGTGAGTACGAAGCTCAATTAATCAGCACGTTTGCCATTGCATTCGGTGGCGTCATTTAGCAACATCACGGAAAAGATTTTACTTTCGCAAGATCACTTCGGAGGACACTTGAGGTTCGTGTCGGCTTCATCGATGGCGCAGAGTCGGCAGACAGGTCGTCGCAATGCTGATCGCATAACGGCATAAAACAAATGCGACATACGCAATTGTGAAAACCCTGTAGTACTTCGGCCGGCCGGCCGGCGACAATGGTCTGATGACTCCCCCGCCGAGTGTACACCGCGTCGCACACGTTAAAACGCTTCGACTCTGACCGCTGCCTAGTGCAAATCAAAACGAGCGCAGTTCACGAAATCCAATACGCCCACGACTTTTTTGCTTTTTAGCCATTTCCACTTCTGGTGCCTAACAATGCTCGTTTTTCGCGTTCAACAGCATTTCCGCTCGAATGCGACGAGATGTCACGCCAGAAGCTGTTGCTAGTCCATCGCAAAGGGTTTCACGGACGGCACGGCAAATCCGGTACGCCAGGTAGCAGTAGGTGTTCAGTAGTCAATGAGTATTGACTGCGAGGTTCATTACACCACCACGTCAGTGAATGATGCGTGCCACTGACCCATGGTGCTAACTCAGTCTTCTGAGAGTGACGCAAAATAAAAGCCTCCACAGCTGATTTTACTCACTGCGACTATTCACGCTTAACTACTCACAGTTAATAGCAGTCTTGTCATAGACGGTCTAGAATAAATTGTTTGATGTTTAGCATTGAGTGAATCTAACGCTTCTGCCCTGGAAGTCGAGAGGGTCGCTTCTCCGCTAGAGACCGATGAGCAGCATCTTATGAAGCTTACTTAAAATGGCGTCCGGTGATGAACTACCAGCAAAGCACTGTTCCATTATTTGAGGTGCTGAGTGACCACTCCTTGCCGCAAATAGCATGGCTGGATGAAAATTTACGGTCAGTACCACTGAACTAACCGATGTCAGCTGAAGAAGGAGGGTCCAATGGGAACCTCCCACGTAGGTCTGACCTTCGAGATAAACGACTCTAAGCTTATTTCCTCAAGTATCGCAAAATCAGAACGACTCTGCAGCTGACATATTGATTACCATTTTCTAGAGGTTATATTTTGTCATCAGATTGATGGTCAGTTATCGGGCTGATCAAGGGGAAGTGCAGCCACAAGAGGCCCTGGTGCACATCTTCCACTCTGGTATCGCCACGCTAGAATACCGTGCTGTCCGGTTGTTCGCAAGTTAACGACCTGCTAATCGTTTGTCACTACATCGAAGCAACGTGAAGTGAATTTCTTGTTCAAGGAAATTTGCGGTTATGACCAAAGTCGTCCTTACGCAGCATTCAAACCGTGTAATTCCAAAGTTCGAAGCTGAACCCTTTGCCAGAGTACCACCGTGACCGTTTAACTGCAGATGACAGCTAACCATATTCAGAACCATTCTATTCCTTTCTCTACTAAGATACGCAGGCTTAAATAGTTCATGTTCAGCGTTTCCACTGGCCACAATTTAACTGAATGATACAAAGCATATGCTCGGTTTAGCTACGCACAATACAAAAGGTTTGTCACTTTTACGATCGATCGATACCGATGTATCGGCAGTATTTCACATGCATACTTCAGGATAAAGCCATAAAGCTTAAGTCACGAAAGAATCATCAGTTACAACCGCCAACATCAACACTATCGGAAGACCAGCAGCATTCTTCTGTAGATTGCCCATGATACCTAGGCCGAAAAGTCGTTACCCGTCGATCATTCGATACACCGTGTTTATGATGTACTTCAGAATGATTAGCAGTACATGAATATATTGCTCGACCGTAGCATAATTTGCCATAATTTATGCTCTGAATAACATCATATCTTCGTATAGCCAAATCTTTGGAAGCAGAAATGAAAAGAATCTGCGCCTTTCTTCGACGGGCTTTCTTGTTTTCACGCTTTCTGTCCAATCAGCTAATATGAACAGAGCACAAAATGAAAAGCTCTCGTTGGCGAATAGATGTTTATCTGCAAATTTCTGTTCAACAGAGCTCTCGCAGCCTATAAATATCTCCAGTCAAAATTCTCTACTCGTTACCAAAAGACAACCGAATGGTGCCTCTCAACAGCGAAGTCAGGTACATGGACCTAGATGCCTCCAAAATTCGTTTACACGAAGAAATATGCCTTCAAGCCCAGGGGTTGATCACATACATGGCCGGTTTTTGAGCTGAGTATTTTGTCAAGGCAAGCGCGTAACCTTAATTATTTATCGCTGCATTGGCTCCCAGAGTGTACAAATTTCATTTCACGTAAGTGTTTCGTTGTGAGACATGCGCAGGATTCGCAGAGACAAGGAAATCCATGTTGAATCTGTCGGAGCCAGATTTCTTGATCAGACATTGTTTCATTAGTTCTTGGTTGTGATCCGTTATGGATGTGTCGAGGGGTAGAGAACAAACAGAATATGAGGCCAACTATCTTGGTGAAGTACTTAATGGTCACGAATTTCGCAAACGTTTGCGGATAAGCTGGCAGAACTGTCTGAATAACTGATAAGCAAATAGTCGGTGATTTTCTCAGGAAAATTCTGTAATTGAATCTAGCCTTTACCTTGGACAGCAATTCTAATAATTTTAGTTGTACTGCAAGGGAAATGCAATTAAGTTACACTCTTGGCCAACGAATTATTAAAGAAACTGCATCAGCTAGAAGTTTGCCTTTCTGGTCATCCTAATATCGTTGTTCGCATCGTGATCCAGGATCGAGCACAGTTGAAAAATAATGTTTCCTAGATTAACGATGCTTAATTGACCACAGATCAGCCCTTCTTTTACTGTGTGCCAAGATCTGTCAACCAACTTTTACCATTGTTCTCTAGCAGATTATCGAAGTGTGTGGCAAATTTTAAGCTTTTCTGGCGCTCATGGAGAATGCCGTATATCCTACTTCACAAAAAGTAGGATCCATATTTTGGTCTGTCTCGCCTTCCACGGTGTCTGATTTCTAAAGGCAATTCCGCTTATTGCAAGCACGAGCTACAGCAGTTTGCCAAGAAGTGAATGACCAACATGAAGCGAGAAAATCGCTTCCATGATTATTCGGGGAGGTAGCATCAGCTGCATTAGTTGCTGAATTTTGTCACTTCCTTGAGCTAGTCTCTTCATGATGACACAATGAGAGAAATCGCGTTTCTGGACATTAGACGGAAAGTTGGAAGGACTGAAGTCCCGGAACGTTCTGGACGTTTTTTTACCGCATTTCTCTATAGATCAGAATCAGATTCAGACAAATTTTCCTGTATTGTTCAGGTTGGAAAGTGAGTGATAGTTTTTTGAGCAACAGAATTATGTTCTATCTGCATCTGTCGTGCAGCTACCGCACTCATTATCATCGAGGGTTGTCTGAGTAGTTCAGTGTCAACTGTAGAGCCGATGGGAAGATCCCATTTGGCCCTTGCCATTCAACACTGTTCTGTGTTTTCTTATTCCGTTAATGAGAGCTGGCTGCAGTAAAAATGAAGATCTCACTGATGTGCAGCTCAATATTCCCGGCAAGATATTTTGCTGCATTTGGGCATGTTGATGATGTTACACTGATGAGTGCTGCAAGAAACGTCCTTCGCCGCCTGACGGCTTTTGAATGCAAAGAAGCAGCGGAAGTCAGCCTCTTTCTTGAAGCTAAACAGCGAAAAGCCGTGATAAACTTATAGCACAACAGATACGCAAGTAAAATCAGGGAAGTGAGAAGGTACAGTAGGTACAGTAGACGAAAGGTTTCCAACGTACGAGAAGGCAAAAAGTGGCATAACGTTTATT